GGAAAGCAGAGTTTGGGGTTGCCATTTTTGGCATGAATATAAAGCGCAACTACTTTACATAGAAAGAGGCAGGCTTAAGCTCTGACAGTCAATATGACAGAGACGTAATATCTCCCCACCACTTTGGGTTTGCTCTTTTATGGTTCGCCATAATCATAAACTGACCTTTCTCTACCTAGCCTATATGATTTCCTATTATTCCCCAAAATAAATGATGTATCTACTATGATACAACCATCTTTTTTCTACCACTATCTTAATCGTTATATGTAAGAGTTTCAGGTATTGGTCACTCTAACTACAGTTTTATCATCTACATCACTATTTTAGCAGCATCCAAAAAATTTCTATCCAGCATTACAATATGCATTATATGTCTAAAATCATTTAAATGGTGAAGAAAACAGTTTAATTCCTTAGCCCAATATGTAACTTTTGTTCATAAAACAGTTATTCATGATATTACTTAAGAGATAAGAGTTTAAGAACAGTAATCTTGAGTGCTTTGAAATTCATGTGACCATTTCTGCTGCTTTTACTAAACCAACACTTTAAAACTTTCACTTAGAAAACTTTTTTTTTCTGCTTGTTAATTAACCTAATTCTTCTTTCCTCTGAAAGTCTAAGAGCAGCTGGATTATGCAAGTTGCTGCTACTGGAGTGGAGGGAAATTTTTTTTTTTTTTTTTTTTTACCATTCTGACTGAATAATAGCTGTTGGCAAAGACTCTCAAAAGCTGGTAAATGCTATAGATATCTGGACTATTCTCCTCAGCTATATATATATATAAAAGAGTCGTCCAATGTTCCAGCACTAAAATGCACAAAACTTATGCCTTAGGGAACTAGAAAATTTGCCTCCATATTAGGTGAACATATGGGTTGTGATGTATTAATTATATAAAGTTTGGGATCAGATAAATTGAGCTAAGCCCTAAAACTGACTGATACATAATACAGCCCATATTTGTGTTGGATGAGAGAACACAGCAGTATCTAAAAGTTAAGGTCATGACTTGCATAAGATTAGAAAGGCCAAGACCCTCCTTCCAGATTCATTACCAAGATAAATCAAACCAAACCAAGTGCCATCAAGTTGATTCCAAGTTGCTGCCAAGTTGAAAAACATGGCTACCCCATGTTCTTCAGAGTAGAACTGTGCTCAATAGGGTTTTCAACAGCTGTGATCTTTCAGATGTACATCACCAGGTCTTTCTTCTAAGGTGTCTCTGGATGGATTCAAATCGCCAACCTTTCAGTTAGTAGCCAGCACCACCCAGGGAGTCACTTAACTAATTTACTTTTGTGACTTCCCTATCTGGGTTGATATCTGGTTGCTTTGTCCTGTGTTCTAGTCTTGGGTTGTTATCTGATGTTACTGATTTTCTAACTGGAGGACTCTCTTTAGTATTTCTTGTAATTCTGGTTTGGTTTTTGCAAATTCCCTAAATTTC